GCCGTCCTGTTTGCCTAAGGACTTCATTTTGGGTCTCATAATCATTCCATCGGCTACCTCTCCCGCTGCCTTGAACATGAAAGACTCCTGCTTCTGTCCGGCTTCTAATTGAGTCATTTTGCACGCTGCTGCCGCTATTCAGAACTCAATTGTATGCAGATACAAAGGCCCGACAGGGACCATGGTTACCCAGGCACCCAGGCGGCCACCCACATAGACGACGGCAGATGTGGATGTATCCAGCTACGTAGCAAGATGTGAATGGACATGAATCCTTTGAAGTTCTTTGAAGTCGGTTAATGCAATTTCTCAAGCTCCGAACATCAAAACAACATTGATAAGAATTTCAATTTCAATTAAATATTGATTAGATTTCTCACGGATCACCCATGATTCCATCCCATCCCATTCAATGATTGATTCCTTACCCATCAAGGTGCTCGCCAGGATGCACATCGAGATCATCATCACATCCATATCCATAGTTTGTACTCCTTTATCGCTCTCTCTCTCTCTCTTTCTCTGTCTCTCTTTCGGTCTTTCTCTGCCCAATTAGCGGGGATAAAGCCTCGCAATCACACACACACACTCGAATCACGCGGGAGGACACTCACGAATCGGATTGAAGGGTATTATGTGCTGACAATCCGTTGATATAGTCAGGCGACTATCCATCGGCTCAGAGCCTGGTCGGGGAGAGCTGCTGCCAAGTAAGTGCCAGGCACTCGAATATCCACTCAAAGCATCTGTAAATATTCAATATTTGGCTGCCAGACGAGTGCAGACGTCGAGTCCAATTGCTGAATGGCCTTTTCGACGGGCTCCTTGGTCCCTGGGTCCCGGATTCGGAGGAGCTGTGTATGTGTCGGGTCGGTTTTTCGATATTTACTGTGGACACTCAAATTAAATTGCTATTTACATAGCTGGAACGCATGAAATGCATTTATCAACGAGCACACGGAGACAACTCGGGGGCCTCAAAGAGATACGGGACACTTGCTGTCGGTAGTCTGTTGTCTGTAGCGTAGCTGCGTTGTTGGTTTATGTTTCGTGGTTACTGCTTTTTTATCAGTGCCTAGATTGACAAGCGACAAGCGACAAGGGACAAGCGACCGGGGCAGAGCGACAGTAAGAGGTGCAGTAACAGTTTACGGATACGCCGATACGCCGACAAAGGTATCTAGATACACAAAATGCACTGCAAGACGACCGAGAGTAGTAGATACGGACCGGGACCGGGCGCTGAAGTGACGGTGACGGTGACGGTGACGGTGACGGTGACGGTGACGGTGGAGTTCAATTACCCAGAGAACCGATGTTGATGCGAACCGATCCGAACAGAGCGCAACGAATCAACTTAATTTGTATCCCAAAGATACTACTGGAGGAATACTGTCCATCTGCTGCATCCTTGGCATTGGGCTCGAAACTCGAAATGAACCGGCTTTTGGTGGGTGATTTTGCCTGCTGCCCGCTCCCCGAAATGGGGGGAGTTTTCGAGATATTCGGACGCAAGGGAACACGGAACAACCGAACGAACTGCTTGCGTCGACTGTCGTGGAAATGGAAAAACTGGTTGCCGTGTGAGATACATTCGTGCGGCAAGGCCATTCTTTCAAATCCGCCCGCCTTCAAATGTTGCTGGTGATTACAAATGTTGCTCGGCAACAAAAAACGAGAAGAAAAAAGGTGTGGACAACAGGCAAAACGGCCCAGAAAATTCAACGCATGCAAGTAAAATTCACCCCCTTTGCTTAACATACCTTGGAGGCCAAGACCCGAGAGAAGAGAGAAAAATAGAGAGAATGTTCCTGTGGAATACTGGGTGCAGTCTGCATGTGTGCGTGCGAACCAGTATTTTTTTACTTGTATTGGGCAGTATTGCCGTGCAGCAGACGATGCGCGCCAAAATAATTTGAATTTGAACGGATTTCCTGCAGTTTTATATTCGGTTATAATTACTTAAGAAGTGGGAGAGAGTAAGAGCAGAAAATCACACAAATTAATTGAGATCTGTTCGCTATGCGATTTGAATAGCGGTATTACAATTCGGCTAGCATTGATTTAAAGCTCTGTAATACAATTTTTACTCTTCATTTGAATGCTATAGCCATGACAGGTTGATTTATTTCAAAAGTAGTAGATAAATGACTCCTTTCGTGTTTCTTCAAAGTAGAAAATGCCAATCCGATGCAATGCATTCATACATTTATTCACAATTTATTTAGTCAAATGCTATCACAAGTTTGATTCAAACGCCGGTTTAATTTTCTCCAAATGAAGCCATCAGCTGCCAGTAATCAGCCAAGAGTCGCTAGGCAATCATTGCTGGCTTTTCCACCTCCCCCTGCTGTGGTTTTTCCCTCATTTTAAATCCAAACAATAATGCGTCTTAATGACCCAAACCAGAGGCAGCAGGCAGGGGGGTGTTGCGGGCTAGATAGTGTCAGTGGAAGGAGGGTTGGGGTGTTTGGGAATATCCATTGGCGGCTTGCTGTTTTTACGAGCAGACGAGCACACGCTTGGGGAAACTGCAAGAGGCTTCCGCCCGAGACACCCAGGAGCTACTGTGCGTGGCCCGATTATGAGCCTGGGTGCCTGGATGCCTGGATGCCTGTCTCTCTGTCTGTGTGTTTTCCATTTTATAGTTTTCCGCTTGTTTTTTTACGAGGTCTTTCAACCCCCCTCTTCCCTCTCTCCCGCCGAAAATGGAAAACAAAACCCAAAACCCACACAAAAACAATTGCAGCAGATCCTTTTGGACGAGCAGCGGCGCTGACTGACATCCAACACAGTCGTAAAATGCCGCTGCCATTTGTATAAACTATACATCCAGTCCCGGTCCGAGGGGTGGTGGTGCCGGTGCCCTGCCCCTTGCCCCTTGCCCCTTGCCCACCCCTGATTAACAGCCCTTTGTGATTATATCTGGGTACAATGTGCGTGCGTGTGTGTGTGTGTGTGCGGTTATCGAGTGAAAGCAGAGAGAGAGAGAGAGAGAGAGAGAGAGAGCACTGCGCTTTTCCATTTTCCATTTCCCCGGACGCACGACAGTTATTGATGTCATAAAGTTGGAGATTTATGCCATGCTCTGCTCTGCCAGAATGTTGGGCTTATGTTTTATTATTTTGCCTCCCCTATATCCCATATCGTGGGGTGGAGACGATCCGATCAGTCGACTCAAAGCGGGCCAAATGGTGTGTTAATAATTAGATATTAAAGTAAATTTCTTAAATGGTTAACAATGGTTAGAAAGCAAGTTGCCGCTTAGATGATCCTCTCCCATTTATCATGCATGCATACATATATCCCATAGAACTGTTCCCTGAGATGTATTTTGTGTTTCCACACAAGTACTTTCTCCAAGGACTCCCCATTGCAAAGTACTAGTTCCTCAGATCTTTCCAAACTTATTTAATGCCCTCCGATCTTTTCATCTTTCTGAAGTTATTGTTCCCCCTTTTTGGACCAACATCATTTATGGATGTTTAAGTTATTGTGTATCTTCTTCTGGTTGCACTACCTTTAATCAACGCCTCGTGCTCGTATAATTTTATGGAGCGAGCAAAACCCCCAGGTAATACGGAATCGAGTGCATATCGAATCCTCTACGCTGGCAAACATCAAACATTTGGAGGCATTTCAATAAATTTTAGTAACGCAACGCGGCCTTTGCGTAGACTAAACAAAATAAACATTTAAACAGCTTCCTCTCCCACCCGCCCACCACCGCTCTCCCATATACAACTTCTGAAGGTGTTTCGCGGGGGGGTGGGGGGGGGGGTTGGGGCATCCACTATAAACAAATGAGGCGAAAAAGTACCAAAAACGAAAAGAAGGCACACATCACATCGGCGGAAGGGCCCCGCAACAACAAGTTTTTAATGCATGTCGATTTCGATGTCGTCGTCGTCGTCGCCGCCGCCGCAGATCAAAGGCGAATGGCATCAGGCACGGAGGATCGGCGGAGGAGGCAGTGGATGGGATAGCACTGGAACGGAATGGGCAGGGGCAGGGGTAGGGTAGGGGTGGTCGTTTAATTGCACTTGCCGCTTACTTTTTTTATATCTGCCCCATGCCTCATGCCTGCGCATGTGTAGTTGCCTTTGATGTGCGGTGGGCGCATAATGTTTATGCGAGCGCTATAAAAAACCATAAAATATGCATAAAACGCATAGCTTTTTCCTAGGGAAGGTATTGGGGCGGGCCGATTGGGGCCGTACAGAAATGGAAATGGAAATGGAAATGTAAATGAAGCGATTAAGTGCAGACGCTGGCAATTGGAATGGAATTGTCGCTGGCAATGCAGAGGAATTCGTATTGACAACCGATGACATTAGGGGGAATCACATCTCCAGATGGGAGGGAACCCTTCCCTTCCATATTAAAAGGTACTAATTGCAAAGGAACTGTTTCCCTGGAACTGTTTCTGGAAGGGGTACAAAAAATATGAATATTTCCAAGGAATATCTCATATTTTCTGATCTCTCCTTCTGTCGCGCGCGCACCCCCATGATTTCATATTCATTTAACGCAAGATTTCATACCCCTCCCAAGTATTGAGCTCGGGGAAACTTTACGACTTTCTATTGTAGCGGGGGTTGGGTTGGGTTGGGTTGACGGCTGCTTTCGCTATAAAAAGCGCATAAAAAACTGTTGAGCATTCTGTGAGGTTTACGGCCGTGCCAAGTGGGCAACGCAACGAATTTATGATGGTAAAGAGAGGAGACTTTTACGAGGCAAACTCCACCCCAATCCCAATCCCAATCGCAGTACCAGTCCGCACCCCCACTCTGAAGTCCGTTCCGAGTGGAGCCGCAGCAAAAAAGATATGGAAACGATTGCGCTATAAAATGGGGCTCTATGAGAGCTATAAAATATTTATTCTACTAAAAAATAACTGTACATGGATATATACACAGACACATACATACATACATACACGCATAAAGATATATATATATATATGTTAATATAAATACAAATAGATTTATAGGGGATTTTTTTCGATTTTTTCTTTTTAGATTTTTGTTTTTTTTACACTCAACAACAAACTGGAGTAACATTTGAGGGGAGGATGGGTGGGGACGAGATCATTGAAAGAAGCAAAAGGAGCAAAAGGGAGGCAACGCACTCAGACAATGTCATCGGCCACCTGCGACTCCTGCTCCAGGATGGTGCTCTCCCGCAGCTTGCTCTTCAGGTTCTTGCTGGAGTTGTTGGCCTCCGTCAGGCAGGGCTCATGCTCGGCATGCTCGTGTCCGTCGCAGGTGGGCGCATGGGTGGCATCCTCTAGCTGCACCTTGCCCAGGTGGCGGCGGTAGCGGTACCAGACCTTCAGGCCCAGCACCAGAACGAAGTAGAGGAAGGCCAAGCAGATGATCACAATGATGATGCGGGTGACAATTGAATTGGAGGCCGATTTGGCTGACTTGACCACCAGCAGGACATCCGCACGCTTCAGGCCAGCACTGCTGCCGATGGTGCAACCATAGCGTCCCTCGTCCTCGGCCTGGACATTCCGTATCTCCAGAGTGCCGTTCTCCAGCAGAGTGAAGCGATCCCCGTCCGTGTTGTTCTCGTTGAGATAGGCGAGGTCCTTGTCCCACTGAATCGTGGGCTTCGGCTCCCCAATCGCCTGGCAGTGGATGACGGCCGTTCCCGATTCGGTCACCTCAATGGGCCCCTCTGGCGGCACACTGAACTTGGGCGCCACCACCACACTGATGGACACTGTGGCACTGATCTGGCCCTGGCTGTTCGAGGCAAAGCAAGTGTACTGTCCGCGCTGGTCGTTGCTGACCTGGCTGAAGATCAGCGTGCCATTCAGATCGGTCACGTTCGCCGGCAGCGGCAGTTGGGTCTCCTGAAACGAGTATCCCATAATTAATCCATGGAATGGCCGCAGAGGTACCCGACCACGAGCCCGACTTACCCTCATCCATTTGACTTGCGGCGGCGGCGTTCCCTGAGCCTTGCAGTGCACTTTGCTCAGCGAGCCCAGCTCCAGATTCTTCGAGGTGGGCTGCGGCACGAACTTCAGCTGCTCGATTACCTCCAGGATGCCGCTGCTAGAGCTGGCAGCCATCTCTCCCTCGACCAGCAACTGGCACTGGTATTTGCCCGCATCGCTGGCCAGAACGCTGGCAAACTGCAGGGCTCCGGTCTCCCTGTTCAGCGTGAGTCTCGCATCCTCGCGCAGCATGCTCTCCAGCTGGGGCTCGCTGGTGGTGCTGCTTGTCTGGCCCAGCTCCGCCTGACGCAGGGTCTTGTTGTCCTTGCGCCAGCGCAGGATGACGCTGCTGCTCTGGCGATACCCGTCAGGTAGCTGATATTGGCAGGGCATCTGTAGCCCGCTCTGCTCTTTGACGGTCACCGCGGCTTGGGGACCCTTTGAGATGCTCACATCGACCAAAGACACTGGGGAGGCTGTGTGGGGCAGGGGATGGCGATGAGAATTATGCTCGGATGAGTCAGCGGTGGCATTGTGTGTGTGAACTCACCGCAACAACAGAAGATCAGGCTCAGAGCCAGGCAGCAGCCCAACAATCGCCTTCCGTTCATCTCGCGAGGGGAAGAATTCCTTTGGGGCTTAGTTTTTTTTTGCTTTTATGATTCGTCTTGGCCCTTGGTCTTTTTTTTCTCTCGCACAAAACCGGTGTGCGTGCTCTTCTTTTATTTGTTCCTCGATTTTGAAAAGGAATTTCGAATTTTTGGTTTTAGTTAACCTTCGTTTCGTCTTTCGTTTCCTTTCCGTTCGACTCGGATACGGATACACTTCACTTCACTTCTCACTGGACACGAGTGCTGTGCTCGCCGACTGGATGGCTGGCATTTGGTTTATGGTTATTTTTATGTTACGCACACGCGTCACGCTTAATTATCCTACCGCAGACGCAGAGAGCCCGGGATCTCGTTCGCGTTTCGCTGCTGACCGACCGACCGACCGACCTCTCGGTTCGACTTTAAAAATTAAAATGACGCGGCATCGGGGCTAATTTTCAGCTGGAAGCGGATGGTAGCAGGCATCGGAAGGTTTGCGCATGCGCACTCGACTGCACCCAGTATTTCCCGCTATTTTCTGGGCGAATGCAACCCTGTAGGTGCCTACTACACTTCCTACTCCCAAATCGAAAGAGCAGCAAATCGGAGGACAGCGATACATTTTATTTCCTAAGTTAATAAACATAAAAAATCATCACTTTTGCTAACAATTTATAAGTAACAATTGGAATAATCTACTTAGCATTATATATCATTGCAATCTCTTTAATTAATCGAGCTACTTTCGTTGAGAATCTCCAGTTTGTTGGCCTCAAGGGGCGGGAGGGAGAGGAAGATACAGTCTAAAATTGAGGTATATTGGAGACGCGGCTATAGTGCGTCTGTCGTTTGGCGACACGGAAGGGACAGCGGGTCATCATTTTGTAGACAATCGCCCCGCAGAGCACGAACAGGCCCCAGAAGACGTAGGTGAAGAGCAGAATAAAACGGTTGGGTTGCCACAGAACCGTGTAGCTTAGATTGTAGTTCTCTAAAAAATGCATATACTTAGAAAATAACCTAAAAAAAACCAGTCCAGCTTTGTACTCACCCAGCACAGCATAGCCCATGCCAATCTTGGACTTTCCCATGCGATACGAGGAGGTGGGCACCATAATCTCCAAATAGCTGTGCTCCTGCTCCTTCAGCGCCTTCAAATCAAAATGCCGCACTGCATTCTCATAGAAGTTGATCACCTTCGTGGAGGGGTAAATAAATATCCTAGACTCGTGCCAATGGCCAGAGAATATGATATGTGGATCCAAGTCGCTGATGACGGCCCGCAGCAGCGGTCCACCGCCAATAAGCAGAGGAGCGTGCGAGACCCCAATACGGAGCCGGTCGGCATTATGGTCCCTGTCGGGATTTGTAAAGTCCAACAGCATGCGGTTGATCTTAAAGAAGCGGATGCGATGGTCATAGTCGAAGAGGTCTTCACTCATGAACTCGTTCTCGAAGCGTCGCTGGTTCGAGTTGGAAATGTAGTCGCCATTCTCGCCGCCTATGTCATTATCCCCCGGCACATGGACGCGCTGAAAATAGGCAGATATCATGCGGAACTTAAAGTTATGGTGTTGCCAGCAGGACACTCTCTGAGCTGAAGGGATTTTGTTCATACTTTACGGAATTTCTTGCTCTGATAGATGCGCCGAAAGCGCTTTACATATTGCTTATACTCCTGCGCCGTGGCAATGTTGCCTTCGTCTAGCAAATCCCCCAGAAACACGATTATGTGCGGCTGGGTAAAGGCCACGGCGCGTTCAAAAGTCTTTTGCAGATATCTATCCGAGTCGTAGCGAGCCAGCGGGCTGTGGGACGAGCGATCATAGGAAGTGCCTAAGATCTGCGGGTCTGAGATGAGCAGCAGGCGTGTGCAATTATCTATGGAAGAAGTTGTCTGTGTGTAAATTATGTGAGTTTATTTTTAGGAACTGGGCTAAGAAGCTTACCCAGTTTGCAATCGATTTGGTGCCAGCTCGATTGGGCCATGTAGTAGATGAGAAACTCGTTGAAGAATATCAGCAGCAGAGTCAGCACTACAAAGCCGCGGCATACTAGTCTGTTGGACGGGGAAATTAAGCCATGACTTTAATGAATGAAAGTACTCTCTTCATATCATGGGATTCGATTTATACCTATTAACTACGCGCAAAGAAGCCATAATGCAGTCGAGCTGTGCGCTATTCTACATCGATTCAATTAATACTTTAGGTTTCCTTTTTCCAAATGCGTGGCATTGCGTTTGCGGCGTGGCGTCTATATTTAAACGTGTTGCATATGCAATATTTACGTAAGTCTGTTCATAATTATGCGAATGTGGAGCTGGGCTATCTGGGCATTCCCTTTTCGACGCCGCGAATCAACTATTTTGCATCGGATGCCTCGGCATACATTGCACTGCGCTCACTAATTGGATTAGAAAAACGGAATATGACAACGTGGAATAGCGACTTGCAAAAGCGTAAACTGCGTCCTACCTGCACTGGTTTCTATGGCTGTGCGCGCCATTGGTTCATTCGAATTTAAATGCACAGAGGAGCGTTACTACGACCGGCACCCGCGATGACAGCTTCCGTAATTAAAGCGTCTAATATAAAATAAAGACTATCTCCTCCGATCCAAACGCAAGAAGATTCTGTGTCTAGCTTCAATGCTGATGTTCTCCTGCGTGACATAGTCCATAGCTGCTGTTGATGATTCTGATTCCCAGCAGATCCCCCTCATTGTCCCATGTGAACCCTCAAGGAACAGAGCGCTAATGGAACAATTAAGATGAAAATAAATACAATTCAATAAACATACGTGGGCACTGCCTGCCTTTACCTGAGGAATTTCGCTGGCCCTGGCGATTCCAAACACAGACCCGGATCTAGTACAGCCTGTTGTCGCAAGAAAGCTGCTCAATGACAGCTTCTCTATCTTTTTATTTAATAGAATATTAATTATTTAATTCTAATTTAAATACAAATATTTTATCTCAAGTGTTTGTTGCTGTTTTGCAGTGTGGCCGTGTTTCTAAAATGTGGTATTTTTGGGCTCTTCATCGATAGCCGTTTTTATTTAGCAACATTCTGCACACATACCCTTGGGAAAAGTACATTATAGAATTAAGGCAATGTTTGCAATCTCAGGCTCCAGTGAATACAAAAAGTTATCATAACTAGTATCGGGAACAGGATATATACAGGAAACTAATCAAATGCATGAATCCGCCAAAAGCACATCAATTTGAAAAAATTTCTGTATTAATTACGGTTTAAAAATAGTTTGGATAGGGTATACAAAGACCCATACTCCGTTTGTAAGCAACAAGTCTTCAAATACCAGCAACATTGCCGTGGCAACATTGCAATTTTTTTTATTATTTAACGTTTTTGTTTAAACCATGTTTAAGTCAAAATACAATAACTGGTAGTACTTAAAAGTAGGTAATCTTGCAGAAAATGTATTCATCAATGGGATAAAACTATGTGGGCAGAGCTAAAAATCTTAGTTAGCCAGGCATTATTCAACGGAATATCAAAAATTTGCTTGACGTTTTTCGCTAAAACCTTTTTTTTAGACAAAATCCAATAAAAGCAAGTATCTAAAATAAACCAGTCATGTAGAAAATAGGTTCAATAAGTGGATTAAATTATGTGGGCAGGGCTGCGCGATCTATCTAGCTTGTAATATTCCACGGAATATCAAAATCAAAAAATAAGGTTTCCAGTACTTGACGGATAATGATTAACCCATTGTAGACCAAGGGGGTATTTAATATGCCACAAAAATATATGAAGAAAATTTAATCATTTTAGCGCATTCAACTGTTTAAATAGAGGGGGGTTAAGTGGGTTAAGTTCGTAAATCCGCGGTCATGATGGCGTGCGACTCTGCATAAATGCCCTGCAAAAGTTTTTCTTTTTTAACAACATACGCGCCGCTCAAAAATAACCAAGACGTTGGAACATGTGTAAATAAACGTCCATTCCAAAGTTATGTTCTTGTAGTTTGCAGTGATTTCGTTTGTGTGCACCAAAAAGAAGCGGCTGAAAATTGGCAAGGAATTGTACCGCCGCTGCCCGTTGTGAAGAAAAGTAAGATTGCACATCAGAAATTTTCCTCTGCCATTTTGCCCGTCCCCGATTAGTACAACAAGCATTATGAAAACACACTGAATTTAAATATTTTTTGTTTTGTTTGTCGAAACGAGGAAAACACTGCAAACGTGCGAGTGTGAGTGGAGTACGTGTACGTGTACGCGAGAGCGTATGCGTGAGTGTGGCTGTGGCAATGCCACCCTCCGATTTGGCACTGCTATTTGTACATTGAGGGTCGCCTAAAATTGTTGTTGGAAAATGTGGTTTTGATGTGCAAATTCTACTACATACGAGTACACGCTTTTGGGTTTCAGATCAGCGCCTGCCGCGTTCCGTCCTGTCCGGCTTCAGTGGGTGACGATGACGGACATTGTTTATCCGAACGGCTGTCGGCCATTGGTGGAAGACCTGGGCACAGACGAGCTCATACGCCGCCTTAAGGTAAGTTTTACTGGAAATCAATTAACAACGAATGAAAGTCACATTATCCTCATTGACAGACACTCGCCAATGTCCTGCAGACCATGGACCAGGATGACAATCTCTATCAACAGTATATACCATTGGCACTCCACCTGCTGGACGACTTCTTTATGCAGCATACATCCCGCGATGTCCAACTGCTGATAGCGTGCTGCATAGCGGATGTATTGCGTGTATATGCGCCTGAGGCCCCCTACAAAGAGCAAGATCAAATCAAAAGCATTTTCAAGTTTTTTATCAAACAATTGCACGGTCTAAAGGATCCCCGCGATCCGTCCTTCAAGCGTTACTTTTATCTCTTGGAGAACTTAGCCTTTGTCAAGTCTTTCAACATGTGCTTCGAGCTCGAGGACTGCCAGGAAATCTTCCACGACCTGTTTAGTACCATTTTTAAAATTGTGAAGTGAGTCTCTGGCGATTGGTTTATAAAAAAGCAAATAATTTGACTGAAATTCCCTTGCAGCGATCAGCACAGTGCCAAGATCACAAACTTTTTCCTGGACGTGCTGAGTCCCCTGATAACCGAGGCTGACAATTTGTCCGTGGAACTTCTGGACCTCTTACTGATTAACATAGTGGAACCAAATAAATCAAGCAACAGATGTGTTGCACATCTAACCGAGCAACTGCTCGCCAAGACCGGTGACGCATTGGAGTCCCCAATCAAAATGGTATGAATGAATAGTGATGTTCAGTTTATATACCAACTGAAGAAGCTCTATTTCTTCCTGCCCTGCTAGTTCTTTAACCGTGCATTGGTCATGGATAAGCCGAACAACAAACTGTCTATTACAAACAAAATCTATGATATCATCTATGAGCTTAATCGCATCAATCCCGATCTTCTGTACTCCGTGCTGCCCCAATTGGAGAACAAACTACTGTCCACTGATGATGCAGAAAGGCTGAGTAAGTGATGCCACGATGCACCTTTAATATACTCGTCTATACATGTGGATAACCATATTCCTGACCCAACAGAAGCCACCACGTTGCTGTCGCGCATGTTCTCCGAGAAGGACTCGCAGCTTTCGCAGAAATATCAAAACCTGTTACGCACCTTCTTGGGCCGCTTCTGCGATATCTCGGAGGCAGTGCGTGTCAAGTGCGTACAATCGTCCATGCATTTTCTCCTAAATCACCCACATCTGGAACCTGATATAACGGAAAAGTTGCGCCTGCGTAATCACGATTTGGACGAAAATGTGCGCCATGAAGTGGTCATGGCCATTGTGGCGACGGCCAAGCGGGAATTTAGCGTAGTAATAGAGGCGCCCGAACTACTCGAGATTGTACGCGAGCGGACGCTGGACAAAAAATACAAGATTCGACGAGACGCCATGAATGGCCTGGCCTACATCTACAAACTGGCCATCTGCGAACCAAATGACTTGAGTGCTGATGCCAAGCAGAGAGTGGACTGGATCAAGAACAAGATACTGCACGGCTACTACAAGGTGGGTCTGGAGGATCGCCTGCTAGTAGAGCGTTTGCTCATCACCTCATTGGTTCCCTACAAACTGGCGCCCGAGGAGCGCATGAAGAAACTGTACCATCTGCTGGGCGATCTTGATGCGAATGCGACCAAGGCCTTTGTTGAACTCCAAAAAAATCAAATGAAGACACGCAACACGGTTAGCGATTGGATCAAGCTGCATCACTCCAAGGAGTTTACTCCACGGGTGCTCGGCCAACTGGCTGTTAAACAGACCACCATTGCCAAGTGAGTGAAAGAATAAAATAAATTATTACCTCATGACTTAACTGAACTGAACTGTGTGTGTCGCTTGTAGATTGCTTCCCGATCCCTTGAAAGCTTCCGAATATCTCACACAATTCAGTAACAATCTACGCAAAGATGCCCAGCTGTTGCGCTGCATCAACATTGTCCTGAAGCGCGATGTCAGCTGTCGTGAGTGTGCCGACACTATGGGCACACTTCTGAAAAAGCTGGGCTCCCACGTCCAATCAAATCTGTACTACAATACGGTCAAGATGCTGATTGAGCGCGTGGCCTCCGTGATGGTGGATAAGGAGTCCATTGGTGTGCTGATAGGGTAAGCCAAAGTCAAGATTGAGTCTTTCATGTTACACCTAATCCTTCCCTATTCTCCGGCAGCCTGATTGACCAATGCATTCAGGGTGGTTCTATATGCGAAGAGATTGGCATATCGTCCGAGGAGGCAGGCGAGCGTGGACTCAAACTTCTGAGTGTAAGCTAAAATATGACGCCAGGCAGCATGCGCAACTGTAACCTCTTGTCTGCTTTTCAGATGCTCTCATATGTTTTCTCGGCTCACTTTTTCACCGATACCTCTTTGCGTCATTTGATCGCCTTGCTCAGCTATGAGCACGATTATGTGGCGCCACTGGTGCTGAAGACCCTCACGCATTTGGGACGCTATCAACCGTTGATTGACGCCACGCCGGCGATTCTCAATGAGTTGGCTCCAATCTGCCGAGACTTTGCCTTAATTGGAACACCCAAGCAGGCCAAGCACGCGGTACGCTGTATTTTCGTCAACAGTCAATCGTCGGCGCCCACCGATGGAGCTGGAGGTGGCGGAAGTGCATCGACCACGACACAGACGGTGCATCCCATTTTCAACGAGATCATTGAGGCACTGCGTCTGAAGCTGACACCAAATTGCGAGCATCAGCGCACGAAAATAGTGGCCCTGGGCCACATAGCCTACAACATGCCTCAGGCGTTCCTCACACCCATCAAGAACATGATTGCCCGCCGTATTGTCAAGGAGCTGCTCATTCAGGAGGTGCCAGTGCAGCGGGACTACGATCTGCCCGACGATGCTGATTGGTGTGCCGAAGAAGATCTCCCGCCAGACACGCTGTGCAAGCTGGATGCCCTAAAGGCCATGGCCCGCTGGCTGCTCGGCCTGCGTACGGATGAACACGCTGCACAGAAGACATTCCGAATGTTGGCCGCCTTTGTCAATCAGCGTGGCGATCTTCTCGCCCAGAATCGTCTCTGTGGAGCTGAGAAGTCCTGGCTACGCTTGGGCGCTGCTTGTGCGATGCTCAAGGTTTGTGAACAGAAGGGCGTAGGCGATCAGTACAGTGCCGAGCAGTATTTGCAGCTCTCTCAGCTTATGGTGAGTGGTCTTTCGTATTATCAGAGAACTCTCGCTAACTATTTTTTGTCGCTCAGACTGATCCGGTGCCACAGGTGCGGGAAATCTTTGCACGTAAGCTGCACAAGGGCCTAGGCAGGAGCCTGCCAAGGAATTGCTTACCCTTGGACTTTATGGGCTTGTACGTGCTTGCTGGCCTGGAAACTGACAGAAAGTGAGAAATCTAATAATGCAAGTTTCTCCAGTTTCCATTATTTTCAAT